AGAGAGAGAGAGAGAGATTGAGATTTGGAATACTGAGGTGGGGGGAGTCAGGTAATATCAGTGAGTTAATGAGGCAGTCTGAGGTGGGGGGAGTCAGGTAATATCAGTGAGTTAATGAGGCAGTCTGAGATTCCACACTCCCTTTGTAACCTCTAGCATCTCTCCTGGATCCCATTCCTCCCTGTCTATTCTCATCCATTCATCCCTTTAACCAATACTTACCGAGCACGTACCATAAACCAGGCAGCATGCTAGCTAACCACCCTTGAATTCCAAGCTCACTTCATTTTCTTGAATAATGCCCTTGGAATTTGCTTATTCATTGATGCACTTGTTTATGAAATAGCACATTAGTAGCTAAATCCACAGATGTTCAAGCCAGACTGCCTCAGTTCAAATTCCACTTACTATCTGAATGACCTTTGTGATAGTTTTAATGTCCACTTGTCACAAATTAGAACCACCTGAGTAGGGAGCTTCATTTTTGAATTGTCTTTATTGGCTTAACTGATGTAGGAAGACCTACCCCAAATGTGGACGGCACCTTCTAGTAGCAGCCCAGATATAAAGGGGCCTGGCAGAAGAGGATTATTTGCTGTTTGCTCCTTTAGCCTCCCCTCTTGCCGCTGAGTTAATTTAAGCTCTTGCTGCTGTGGCTGAGTCCCTCACTGAGAGCAAAACCAGCGTTTCCAGTCTTCCAACGCTAAGGACCAAGAGCTCTCCAGGAACCCTCCAGGCTTTCACTGTCAGGTTGGGGCTGCTGAGGCACCTAGCCCTGTGAACTAAGCAACACCTGGGTTTTCAAGCTCTCCAGTGTAGACAGCCACCATGCAACTACCCTGACTACTGAGGTACCAACCCAGCCTCAAGAACTGAGCAACTACTCAGTTCTTAGCCTCCCAGGTGTGATTCGACTGTTGCTGTTTTTCAAAGTAAACTGATTAGTAAATTCTTGTACTATATATGCATCTGTCAGTTCTGTCCCTCTAGAGAGCCATGACTAGTAAAACCTTGAACAAAACGTTTGACATCTCTGTGACTCCATTTCCTCTTCTACAAAATGGAGGTGTTAATAATAGCATGCATCTTATAAGACTTTGGTAAGAATTAAAACAGATAATATACGTGGAACAGTTAGTTTACCCAGCATGGTGTCTACAGGTACTGGCCTTCGCTGTTGAGTATCTAAGTCCCTGGCACACAAGGATGAATACTCATGAGTTCTGTCCTCAAAGAGTAATGAGTGACAAGAACACAGGCTCTACAATGTCTTATGATTATGAGATTCCAGAAGAAAGGTTTCCGTTCCAGATTGGCAAGTCAGGGAGAATTCCAAAAAAAGGATTATAGTTGCCTTAAAACTTGAAAATCAGCTAGAAATTAGCTGGGTAAATGGCTGGGAGACTGCGGCTTTTGAAGCAAGATAAATGTGTTAGCCATTGGAGGCAAGGGAAGAACCACAGGAAAGCAACATACCAACCCCAAGGGGTGCAGTTTGAAGAATGTGAGCCTGTGTCAGACTGGCAAAAGGTGAGCCTAGGAGACAGAAATAGACAGCATAGCTGCAATATCAGCTCCAAGCTGTGTGCTGAGTGTTCTTCCAAACACTTGGTGTGTTATCTCATTTAACCATCACAGTGCTTTCATGCGGCAGACCTTGTGATTGATCATAGCCCCCTTACACAGGAGGAAACCAAGGCACCAAGACTTTCATTATGTTTTCCAAGTTCATATGTTTAAGTAAATGGCAGAGCTGAGATCACACTGGGCAATCTAGCTCCAGAGCCTGAACTCTGAAGTTTCTACCATGTCACATCTCAGATACTATGTCCAAAACTAAATAGCTTGCATTTCATCCTCAAGGCAGTAATGTATTTTAACTAGGTTTTTTTTTTCCACTGTTGGATATGAAGCCTAGGGCCTCACAGATGGCAAATAAGCACTCTACCACTGAGCTATATCACCAGCTCAAGAATTCTGTATTTTATAGTTAGCTTTTACTACAGGATGCAAATTAATTCAAAGGAGAAAGGGTATCAGTTAAGTAATTCTGATGAAAATTATACATTGTCAAATTGGACTGTGGCAACACAGAAAAAGTAAAATGAGTTTGAAGAAGAAAGGGGACCCATGAAATTTGGGGATGGGTTTAACATACAGAGCTAGAGAGTAGCAAATCTCAAGTGTAAGAGTTTTAGCTGTGTTTGGTGATGTCCTTTCCAACAGAAGAAACACTGAAAGAGAAGGCTTTAAGAAAAAATGTGTTCTCTTTACATGTGGGTCACCTGAAGTGTCCGTGGGACACCAGAAGGAGGAAATCAGTGTGGCTAGGTAGGTCAGATGAACATAACCGAAGCCAGGTAGGCAAGTTAGACATGCGGGAACCAAGGAAACTGCAGTTATATCTTGGTAGCTGTGTCTCCTGTGGTTAGAATGCCTCTGTGTTTAAATGTGCTTGAAGATGCAGTTAATCCTTCCCACTACATCAGAAACTAAGACACCAGGGTTCTTTCTCACTGTCCACATGCATAGTTATAAAGGGTCTGCATCCTTAAAATATTACAGCTTCATTATAATATCATTTGCATTGTTTTGAATCCCCCTTGTGGGCTTTTCAAGAGGATCATGAGACGAAATATCCTAAAAGATCTGATCCACCATGAGTGGAGGGGGAAAGGAGTTCACTTGTTCCAGTGAGGTAACCCCCCTCATAAATATTTATAAAACTGCTAAATTTCCATAAGGAGACCTGAGTGGGCTGTTCCCCTTCCCCCGAGGGCAGGCACTCTCCAGTCCCTCTTTGGAGTGCATGCTTTGCTTTGCAAAATCAAGTTTTTTGCTTAAACTGAGTATGTCTCCTGGCTAAGTTCTTTCTTAAGGAGAAACCTCCAGCTGGTTATACAACTGAGGATGAAGGTTTGGAAGCCAATGCCATGTGAATGTTCACTGAGACATGGTCTAGACATAAGTAGACAAATGGCAAGTCCCCAAGTTTCATCATTCACAGGATCAAAGGGAGCTGAGAGAGGTTAAGAGGAAAAGTCAAGCCAGGAGCAACAAAAGCCAAGAAAAGGGGCCCTGAGGTTGGAAAGTGGTTGCTAGTATAAAATGCTGTGAATTTCAGGAGAGTGTTAGGAGAAAAAGAAAGACCTGGATGGGCAGAAAAGACAGTGTTGAGAAAGTGCCAGGTCTGAGTCTGAACACAGAGCCCTTCATGCAAATTAGAACAAGACACTAGTTTTCCAACAGAAACAACCTAGGGAAGAATACATGGCTTAGCTAACAGAGCACAGACCTCCTAGTCTGGACACTCTTGTGCAGGACACAACTTGCCCAACTGCATGTAACAGGCCTGGTAGGGCAGACAATATTTTCAGGATGCATGACAGGTTTGTCCCTGGGTCTCTTCCTAACCACACCCCTTTCTAGGAACCCGTATAATAATCCCTTTCTCTACATTCCTGATTGATCTTGAAGGAGTTGCCTTAAATTCTCTTGGAAGGAATGTATCTAGTAGTCAACAAATAATCTCAGTGTCTATCTCCACACTCAGAATAAGTCAGCCACAGCCTTATACCTGGCTTGCTAGATGGTCTGATGGGAAGGACAGTGCCTTCAGTTCCCGAAGGCTAAAGCTCACTACAGCAGTAAGGACTCTGCTGTTTCACCCTTGGTACGTAGGACTAAGATAAACTCTCCTTCCTGTCAGGCCTTTGTCCTAGGACTCAGGTGTGCTAGGCTTCTCCTTTCCACTCACAGGGAAAAGGCTAAATCCCTTCTCACTCAGTAGCTGGGCACCTGATACTTATCTCTGGTAGATATGTTAGCATTAAAAACATTGTTTTTCTAAATGTTATACTACAGAAAGGAGACCAAGAAAATAATATTAGGTGATGAGGAAGGACAGAATGTAGGCAAAAGGACACGTGAGTCATGCAAGAAAGTATAAAGCAATTTATTTTTTTCTAGCTTCAACTCTATCATGATTTTCTTTCCTTTTTCTGTGGTGGATAAATGAATAAAAATGTAATTGGCAGTGAACGCGTCAAACCATAACTGAAGACCATAGCATCAGATGGCCATTCTAACTGTAGACCTTCACCAAGACACATAGCGTTTGGGACTGACCAAGTATCTGAGCATCTTCTTTAAACCAGCTGTGCAATGTTTTTATGTGTGAGTTAATTAGAATCAAGTAATTTTACTTATTTTTAATTGTTAGAGTCTCACTATGAGGCCAGGCTGGCCTCAAATTGGAGATCTCAGGTGGCTGCTTCACCTCTGGAATACTGGGGTCTCAGGTCAGGTGTGCTCTACCACACCTGGCCCATGTTAGTATTTTAAAAGAAGTCCTGACTGAAATGTATGAATAGATACTCCATTTCTTATAATTCAGGAGATATGATTTTGAGACTTTTCTCTTATCAAATCCTCATTTAGCAAACAGTATTTGAACCTCAGCCCTGAGGCAGGGGGAGGGAGGGAAACAGAGAAATGTACTAAAATATGGATAGAAGCCAAGATACATTGTTAAGAGAAAATAAGCCAAAGCCAAACTATGTGTGTGGTACATGCAAGCATATATTCATATATGTAAATATGAATATATACCACAGGTCATATAATAGAAAATATAACTATATATCCACACTTGCCAGGAATAGAAGAGACTAAGAGATAGAGGGATAGAGTGTGGAGATAGAGGGGCCACATTTGGGGGTGAGATTTCTCAAAGTAGCCTCTTTTATCATGTTTTGATTTCTAAGTAATAGGATTATAGTCTTTATTTTAAAATGGAAATAGAAAATAAAACCTCTATGAGCTCTTGAAAAGAAGCCAAATTGGGGAAAAAAAAAAAACCTCCATAAAGTAAAATCTGATCTCAGCGAGTTCTGTGCTAATCAAAAAACAATTGACTCAAATGGTACAATTTAGGTCATTTGAGTCTGACCTACAGAGACATTTTAGGGCAGGTCACTTTTTCAAAATAAAGCTGATATAATCCAGCTCTGCCTGGGTCTGACTCCTCTGTTCCCTCCTACCCTCCCCAGTGGAGTGCTAACATTTGTTCTAGTTAACACTTACTGGAAGACTTTACGGTACTTCCTTCTAAGAGATAATAGTCAGGTGACAATCATTCCCATGATGTCGGCAACTCATTCAGGAGCCTTACCGAATGAGTCCTGAGAAGTTTATCCCACTGGATAAATCCATCCCGGTCCTGGGCAGAGGTGCTATAGGAACACGGAAGGGTCACACTCTTTCCTCGGGCAGCACGAAGAACATCCGATGGGGTTTCCACAGAGATGGCATCAACAGCTACCCAGACTGGAAAAAAAAGGAGGCAGCAGAGGGGAAATGAATGATATGGACACACTCACTTATTCCCAACAGACCCCTGCAATGAACACTCGCTCCTGTAGCCATGGCTAAAGCAGCAATCTTGGTCAGGACATGCTAGCTGCTCTCCCTAAGCCCAGGGAAGAAACTAACACATAGGCCTTGCTCTGTCTTCTTGCCATCCTGCCTTGTCCTGAAGAAGTTACCTGCATTTGGTGTCTGGCTTTCAACCTTAGCCCAACCCCTTGTCAGTTGTGTAGATTTCTCTAAGCCTCAGTTTTCTCAGTGAAAGAGAAAACCTAATGCCAGAGTTATTGGGGAGATGAAAGAAGATGCTATGTGTCTTTTCACTCAGTGCCTGGCACACAGACACCGCTCAATAAACACTCTTTTGTTGAGGTCATGATTTATTTACTTAATTGCTTAACAGATAGTACTAGAACACTTGCACATGATAAAGAACTTTATAAACAAGATTAAATCAAAGTAAGAGTATGGGGGATCCGTTTATGTACATTTATCAGAAAAAAGTTAAACAAACCATCATGGCCACACCTCTACTGCCCAACACACACACACTCTTTTTCTAGTTGTGGAAAGTGGGGTCCCTCCCTTTGATTCTGGGTGGGCCTGTGACTGGGTAAGTGACATTCTGTGATGCTGAAGTTAATTTGTATGAGGGAATATATTTTGCCTGGTCCTCTTCAGATGCTCAACCTGGAGGCCCAGTAGATACTTGGTGAGCAGACACATGGGAGCTAGGAAGAAAACCAAGAGAAAGTTTCCCAGAGGCCAAGCAGGAAATACATCTCATGAAAGTGAAGTAATTATATTAATTGCAAGTAATATAATTTGTACAGGGAGCTGAGGACTGAGAGACTAGTGACTAGATGCAGCAACACAAGATGCTCTTGGCATGGGCAGATGCAGTGGAGTGGTGAGGGTGGAGCTTGAATGGAGGAAGTTCAAGAGCAAAAGGGACAAGAAGAAGTGGGCAGCTTTTGCTGGAAAGGAGAGAGAGGACAAGAACCAATCATAGTCAAAAGGCACATTAGGGTCAAGATAGGTTTGTGTCTTTAAAAAAAAGTGTATTTGATAATATAAAAATGTTTTGACACTGCTTATTGATGAGAACAAGCCAGAAGAGAATGGGAGCAGAAATGATGTTCTTATAAGGCAAATGGGACTTGTGAGTAGAGTGTGTTAGTATGGGTAGGCATATAAAGAACCCCAAGCCATTCATCCACTGTAGAAAGTGGCTAAAGACACAAGTGAGTTGGCAGGTTTGGTGGTAGCAATATGAACACGTTTTCTCTGAGGGTTCCTATGATGAGGTTGCACAATAAAGAAGAAAAAGATCCTTCAAAAGATAGCCCTCCATGAAGACATGACTGTGAAATCTAGGTCTCAGTTGGGTCAACAATGTGTCCTGGTTAGTTTGAACTGTCAACTTGACACAGCCTCAGTCAACTGGGAAGAGAGACTTAAATGAGCAATTATCTAGGTTAGTCTGTGGGCATGTCTGTCGGGGGATTGTCTTAATTGTTCATTGATGTAAAGAGATAAAGCCCACTGTGGGTGGCACCATTCCCTAGGCAGGGGGGCCTTGAACAGTGCAAGAGTGGAGAAGATGAACTGAGCAAGCAAGCAAGGGAGGATATGTTCAATCCTTCTTTGCTCTTTACTGTGGATATGATGTGACTGCTTGAGTTTCTGCCTTGATGTCTCCAAAATGATGGATTGCAACATGGAATTTTAAGCCAAATAACCCCTTTCCCAAGGTGCTTTTTGTGATGGTATTTGTCATAGCACTAGAAATGAAACAAGGCTGGGGTTTGGGGGGGTTTGGGGGTGGAGAGTTGAAAATGCAAAAAGTTCCTGGGGAATGGGATTATTCATACTTTGGTATGCAGTTTCCATTCAAAGTACTATAAAGTGAAAGTCCGTAGCATTTATAGAATGGGACACTGCAGTTACAGAGCTGGGCAGGCAATGAGAGGTCCTAGAGCCTGTTTGTAAAATCAGAGAAACATGTGGAGGTAGGAATGAGAGAAACTGGAAACTATTAAAAGCCAGCCTTCCCCTCCTTGGCATTTGTAAACTTTTCACATCTTGAGGCAGGGAGACAGCCAGTGCCAGGAGCCACTGAGAATCCATTCAAATCCTGACTTCCTGGGCAGTTAAGGCATACTCCAGAGCTGCCTCCCACATGGCCAAGGCTCATTAAATGCTCCTCCAAGTTACCAGAGGTCTCTCCACCACCTTCATCTATCAGAAAGCACTTTCATTATCATTACTAGCAAGTTCCCCTTCTTTAAAAGGCTATTTACTGGAACAGGCCTCAAATTCCATCCTCCAGTTCCCAGCTGTAGCTCTATATCCTGTTCAGAGAGCATGACTTTAAGCTGTTCCCTGAGTACCTAGTGGTAGTCATGGCAACTGCCACTGGTCTTTGCCTCATGTCTTCCATCCTTGCCTGGACCCATTTCCCTGGAGCCTTGTCCTCAAGGTGACTGGTCTCAGGCTTCTCTGTGGCTTGAATAATCATTCTTTCTTGTCCTATACATGAGGTACATGTTAAGAGTGCTGCCACTGGTGAAGCCCAGGTGGCGCCCAGGTGGCTGGTGTTCTGCTGAGCCCAATAGGCTATCTCATCATACCAGTTCTCCCTGTCAAATCAAAGATAACTGATTCATTAAGTCATTGCTTCAGAATCGACTTACCTGCTAACTCATGAATAATGGGATCATAAGCCAACAATCAGAGAAAGGAAAATGAGGAGTCAGTAATTCTGATTTCCAATTAGTCCTATGCTACGTTAATTACAACTCAGTGGCATGGTATAAGTATTTTACAGGTATTTATTTTCATATTCTCTCATATACTATCTCTCTTTCACAGGTGAATAAATTGGAGTTGAAAGGGATTATGCAATTTGCTCATCGACATGTAGATAACAAATGTCAGCACATCTGGCAAATCCATCAGACAGATGCAGCCCAGAACAGGCATGGGGCTGCTGCCTAACTATCAGGGCAAAATGTTCACTTTGCCTGCTGGACCAGGTGTAGTATGGGATAGTGTTCGTCCTGACCACCAGCAGAACATATTTCCTGTCTTATCCCTTGACCACATCACACTCCTTTTCCCTTGTGATTGAAACATCCTTTCTTCAGCCCACTGTCAAGAATTTAACATGTGTCTACCATGTAGAACCAGAGCTCTGCTCTGCTCTGGGAGACAAGATAGAAGTCTATGAAGTCACCTTCTTACCACGGCTGGGTCTATGGACACAGACTAGATTCACACATATATCTAATCCTCTTTACCAAACTCTATGAATAATATTTTCTGGCAGAATAGGAATGAACCCGAACTTAAGTGGAAAAAGAATCAGGCCTGGTAACTGCCTGGCAACCACACCACACTCCCTGTTGGTGAGGACCTTACAGAGCTTCAGTGCTCCACATTCTTGTCAGAGATGTGACCTGCAAAGTGAAATAGGCCTCCCTGGCTAGGTCAGGGGAGCTGAGCAACCCCTTCCCAGCAAAGGAAACTTCTCCACCCAACTGCTCCTACCACCTGCACCTTCTCTCTCCCAACTCTCCCTTCTAGCTCTGAAATGCCCCTCTGATACTTTTATTCTCACACCTTCACCACTCTATACTTATAACACAATTCTGTCATGACCATTCCAGGAAGTAACAGAACAGGCCGTTTAAATGCACGTGTTCTGGTGCCACAATACCTCAGTTAGAATTCCTTCATCCACCCAATGTGTAAGCCCAAGCAGTGTCCATAAGCGCTCTGTGCTGGTCTTCACTTGAAAAGTGGATTATGTGAGGATTAAGTGACAAGAAGTGTGTGCTTTATTTAATGGCTCCTAACTCACAATCAGTGCTCAATAAGCAATAGCTACTGCTATTTTTTTTTTCTTATTGGACCACTGTACTTTGTCATCCCATAGTGTGCTGTGGTAGTGCATCATGGTTAGAAGTTAATCATGAGAGACAACCATCCACCATCTGGGCTGTCAGAAAGGAATAGTAGTTGCTAACGATTGTAGCTAAAGAATAGATCAGTTTTAGAGATCATTTTAGCAGTGAGTTAAAAATCATTGCATGTTAATAGATTTATGTGAGAAAAGAGAGAAATGGATGAGGCAAAACTCATAAAGAATAAAAAAAAAGAAAGCCTTACACTAATGTACAACACAATTAGGATGTTATTTGTAAGCCCGAGAAGAATCTTAAAAGACTGATCTTGTGCCCTGGGGCACATGTGCATTTTCCATGATTCTAGATGAGACGTTGCCCTGTTTTGAATGTCATGGTATATTGGGAGTTCACCATAACTAACCTAAATCCTCTCTTCTGATGCAGTCGGTATTCTCCCATTCTGACACAGCTGGCAACAAAACATCCACTGGCCTTATTCATAGTGTTAATAAGTCCAGTTCCTTTTTCTTCTTTCCATAGGCCATATGCTTACTAGCGTTTCAGCCCTTCATTTTCTCTTCCATGAGGTCTTGCATGCCCATTCAGGGGATGGAACAAAGGTGAGACATATAACCACTGGCTAGAAGACTGGAAAATGGAGAAGTCATTTCTAGAAGTGTCCAACTCCCTCCTTTTCTGTTTCAATGTATGAGCTGGCGTTAGATATTACCCTTTCAGCTGCCGAGAGCCCACCCTCCTCCCCAAAGCTGCAACTCCTTGCTTATTCCTTCCTTCGACTGGTGCCCCTTGTCCTCCAGAAGTTTTCTCCCTTCCCTCCTCAATCTTCTACTTGCCTTTTTCTTAAGGCTGAACTCTTCTGAAGCTCAAGAAGAGCACCTATCAGATTTGAAATGTCCCTCAAAGATTCATGTATCGATGGCGTCATCCCCAATACAGCAATGTTCAGAGGTGAGGCCCTGTGAGAGGTATTGAACCATGAGGGCTCTAATCTCATCAGTGGATTAATGTATGGATAGGTTCATGATTTAA